ATGGCATGGGAGATTGATATGGTCTAATGGTAAATATCATTGATGAAAAATTATTGGTGATTTCAACAGTTTCCCTTAAATGATCTTATCTGATGATGCAAGATAAACAATGAACAATAAAAATTATACAGTATTAAGAAAATATTGATACAAGTTATTAATATGAAAGTTAATGTTTATTCCTGAAGTAACTGCGACTGATTCTGTGATAGTCATCATATAAAAAACTATTTTTAAATACCTACATGATGTAAAAGAAATATAGAATATTATTTATATGAATTGTGGAAATGTCGATATATATGAAGCGTTTTTTGTTAAGTAAAAAAGCACAAGCAATGTCGCAAGGGCAGCCCTCAGTAAAGAAGAGTTCACGCATTCCAACCCGATGACAGAGATATGTAAAAGAAGACAGTCACAAGATTTAGCACAAGGACACTTTATTCTTCAGCCAACGAGGAAAGAAACTACATCTCTTACAATCTAATTAGGATAAAAGAAGACAGCCAAAGCAGCATATATCACAAAGATTGAACAAGACATTTTTTTTTTAGCAAGATATGTCTCATAATATGGTCAAGGAAGAACACAAAACACAGCATGACACATACCACTGACTCACGCACCTGCGGACGAGGTATCCCATACATAAGAAACTTATAAAACCCAATACCAGGAGGAACGATGGCCAAGCGGAGCTGCTCTTCCGTCTCATCCTTGCCTATGATACCCTGTTGGAAAAAGAAAAAAAGAGTTAGAAGGATGATTTTTTTTTTAAATTTCAATTCCATTTGTTAATTTGAAGATTCTTTACTGTGCCATACTGTCTGTTTTATTTTGCCTTCTAAATCTCCCCCTGTGTGCAAGGAATGGCCGGGGTTACCATTCACTGGTAGCGCGCAGGATCGAACGCAGGTCAGCAAGATTGCTAAACCAGCTTGTTCACCACTGCACTACACAGCACACTGTGTCCTTTGTATGTTTCGAACTCGTTGCTATTAAGAGTTTTTTGAAGTGGGATGTAGAGTATGCAAGAAAATTATTATAACGTTCGTAGATTAGGATATACTGTAGAGCATGCGAGTAAAATTATTATAAAGTTCATGGAGTAGGATATACTGTAGAGTATGCGAGTAAAAAATGATTATATGTTTCTTGGAGCACGATATTTGTAAAGGGTATGCGTTTTAAAAAATAATATAAAGGTTCTTGCAGTATGACATGTGTAAGGGTGTGCATGTAAAAAATAATTATAGGGTTCTACAAATACGATATTGTAAAGGATATGCAGGTAAAATATTATAAAAAGGTTCTTGAAGTACGATATCTGTAAGGGTATGCGAGTAAAAAAAAAATAATGAGACTCTTGAAGTACAGTATTTATAAGGGCACACGCGTAAAAAATATTATGAATATATATATTTCTTCGTCTGTGGAATTTGAAAATAAGCGTTGTTTAACTATGATGTCTGTTGACTATGAAATAATAGTCAGGTATAGATTCTGCGGGTATGTAGAAGTAGATACTGCTGAAAAGGTACTTGATTGATACTGAATTATGCTTGTAGAAACTATATAAATCTAAAAGTATAGGCTTTGCCTATGGTGCCTTTTAAGCTATGGAAGGAATTAGGCAAAGGGATATTTGGGTGTCCACTTCTCCTCCTCCCCCCTCTTTCTCTCCTCTCCCCTCGGCCTCACCTTGACCTCGAGCATCTATCCTCCCCCTCCCTCCTCCTCCCCTCACGTTGACCTCGAGCATCTGCCCTCCCCCTACCTCCCTCCTCCCCCTCCTCCTCCTCACCTTTACCTCGAGCATCTGTCCCTCCCCCTCCTCCTCACCTTGACTCGAGCACCTGTCCCTCCCTCTCCTCCTCACCTTGACCTCGAGCACCTGTCCCTCCCCCTCCTCCTCCTCCCCCCTCTCCTCACCTTTACCTCGAGCATCTGCCCCTCCCCCCTACTCCCCTTCCTCCTCACCTTGGCCTCGAGCATCTGTCCCTCCCCCTACCTCCCCCTCCTCCTCACCTTGCCTCGAGCATCTGTCCCTCCCCCTCCTCCCTCCTCCTCACCTTGACCTCGAGCACTGTCCCTCCCCTCCTCCCTCCCCCTCCTCCTCACCTTGACCTCGAGCATCTGTCCTCCCCTCACCTTGACCTCGAGCATCTGTCCCTCCCCCTACCTCCCCCCTCCTCCTCACCTTGACCTCGAGCATCTGTCCCCTCCCCCTCCTCCCTCCTCCCCCTCCTCCTCACCTTGACCTCGAGCACCTGTCCCTCCCTCTCCTCCTCACTTTGACCTCGAGCACCTGTCCCTCCCCCTCCTCCTCACCTTGGCCTCGAGCATCTGTCCTCCCCCTCCTCCCTCCTCCCCCTCCTCCTCACCTTGACCTCGAGCATCTGTCCCTCCCCCCTCCTCCCTCCTCCCCCTCCTCCTCACCTTGACCTCGAGCATCTGTCCCTCCCCTCCTCCCTCCTCCCCCTCCTCCTCACCTTGACCT